GTCAGCAACGTGGCGCCCTCCGCCTTACCCGCCTGCAGAGGGGGGGGTAGAGGAGGGGAGGGGAGGGGGGCCCGCGAGCGGGTCCCGGGGGACGGCACACACACTTGCCGGGGGGGAAGAGAGGTATGAGGTATGAGGTACGAGGTATGAGGTACGAGGTACGAGTGCGCTCATGGTAAGGGACAGACCTGGCGGCTTATGGGGGTTGTATGGGTGAGAGATGCAAATAGTAATGGACAGGGATATGTAGGGTTTTTAATTTCCTTAGATGGAAATTTTATCCCAACTAAACTTCGAATGCTGACGAGTGCTGACAAATGCTGACGAGTGCTGACGAATGGTGATGGGAGAGGGGCCGCAGCGCACAGCACGCACTAGGGGCGACTCTCCGCAGTGGAAAACACTTCAGCTAAGCCCCCTACGAAACAGCACCCTGCCGTACCACTTACACTCCGTGTCGTACCGTGCCGTACACCTACCTCGATGTATCCCAGTACTTTGCGGTACTGTCCCTCGTTGACCAGGGGCCCCAGGCGGCAATCCGGAGTGAGCGGATCACACACCTGTGTTTTGCGGGCGGTTGGGGGCGATTGGGGGATTTTTGGAAAGGGGGGGAAAGGTCGCATGGGTGGGGGAATAGAGGAAGGGGGGGAAAGACGAGCCACGAACGAGTGAAGCTGCTGCCAGGGCAAGAGGGAGGAGGGGGTTGGGGAGGGGTAGGTGTTGTTGACCCGGGAACAAAACCCTGACACGGGCTGTCGAGGGAAACAAAAATGGTACCGTAGTACGGCATGCAGGGGCTCTGCCCTCCTCTCGCCCCGCTTGGGGCCCCTTTCTCCTCCTCCCTCCTCCTCCTCCCTCCTACCCCCTCCCTCCTATCCCCTACCCATCCCACTCCCACGTTAATGGACTCGGCCCGCTTCTTGAGGTGCTCCAGGAAGGCCGGTGCCACGTCCTGATGTACGAGCAACCGCGAGGTGGACGAGCAGATCTGACCGTTGGTCCAAAAGGCGCCAAACTGCAGCGAAATTGAGGATTTGGTGGAAATTTTGTTTAAATAATTCTCATTTTTAAACTGGTGGTGGGGAGTATAAAAGGAGCGGGAAGGCAAGCGGGCAGCCCGGGAGAGATTTACTGCATATTTGGAACATTTTGCAACGAAAAGGGCCTAATAAGCAACTGTAAAAGACGTGCACGAATGCGAATTAATGATGTGCACGTACAACTCTTTTTCACACCCAAACGCCAAACCCCAAGTGCACACGACGTTGCCCTGGAGATAGGGCTTGTAACGGAACCCGCGTAAGGCGCCAAATGATTTTGCGGCCATGAAAACAATGCGGTGGCGTAATCCTCTCACACACAACAGGGGTGGGGGTTAGCTGGGTGGTGAATGATGGCCCCGGCTTCTTTGGCCACAATGGAGCATTCCATGTCAGTCATAAGAAAGTACATTACATACGCCACACCTTTTTATACTACAAGAACAAGATGTGATGTAATTTTCTTCGCGGGAAAAATTGGCTGTGATACGGGGTGGTGGGACAGGGTGGGCATAGTTTGCCAGACAGAGCGTCTTTGTCTGTCCGCGGCAGTTAACGACAGCAATCTCCTTCCTCTGCTGTTCCTACTCTCTACCTCTTTCCCGACGACGTAGCATCTTAAAGCTTTGTTCCATCTTAAAACATTTCAACCTCCCGCAAATTACAATATGAAAAGGAAGGAGAGTCAACTCGTAGCCGTGAGGTTGAAATCTCTATACATGTCGCAGCCCCGTCAGGGTCGCCCCAAATCCGAACAGACTTCAGTCTTCCAGTGCCTGCTGCAAATCCCCCCCCCTCCTCCCCCCCTAGTCACACAGCAGGGGCTTCTCAGCCCACCGTACCCTGCTCCCACCCCATACCCCCGCCTCCTCCCCCCCCCCCCGCCGCCGCCCACCACTACCCACCATGGCCCATTCCACCGCTTTCTCCACGTCCGCATCCTCAAACACAATCAGCGCGCTCTTCCCCCCAAGCTCCAGGGAGGAGGGTCTCAGGTTAGCGGCTGCAGCCAGGGCCACGCGGCGGCCGGTGACGGCGCTGCCAGTGAAGGCAACCTTGGCCAGGCCGGGGTGGGCGCTACGCGGGGGGAAAGAGGGAGGGGGTACGACGAAACACGGAGGAGAGGGGAGGGGAGGGGAGGGGGAGGATTATAGTAAAGTCGTAGACACATGCGGACACAGATACATACATACGTACATACGCACGTAACAGGCTCTCTAGAGCAGGTTGTGAAGATACAATACTCTTCTCGAGCATCCGAATGCGGTTTTGATGTAACATGGGGGCTTTTGTTGCGTGGTGATGTCAGCAGACAGTTGATGGTGGTGAGGGCTCCTGTAGGGCTGCTACTGCTAGTGCCTCCTGCACCTGCATCTACACAAACCTTTCTTTTTTTCCTCCCTTCTAAATTAGGATCGACGCATTTCCCGCAGCTCAGTTCAGTTACAACACACGCACACGCGTCTTTCCCCCCCCCCCGAACACAACCCCTGCCTCGTCAGCCCCACCGCCGCCATCCCCCCTGCCGCCCCCAACCGCGCCTTTCCCTAACCGCCAACCGCCAACTGTGACCCCCCTCATCCCCAAACAAGCAGCACGGATCAGAAAACACACACCTCAACGGGGCGCCCGCCTCCGGCCCGGTGCCCGTGATCACATTGAGGACACCCGGGGGCAGCTGCACCTCGTCCGCTATGGCCGCCAGCTCCAGGCAGGTCAGGGAGGCGAGCTCCGACGGCTTCAACACGGCGCAGCAGCCGGCAGCCAGGGCAGGAGCCACCTTCCACTACAGGCGATGGGAGAGAGCGTGTGTGCGTGTGTATGTGTGTGTCGAAACGGGTAGAGAAGGCGGAATCATGTGACGATGCAAGATGGGAATTGAGTGGCGGCGTCCAAAGCCGAAATCCAAAGTCCGACGTCTCCGGGTGCAGGTGGGGGGAGGGGAGGTGAGGCAGGGTGCGGAGAGGCAGGGAGCGCAAATAGGAGGGGAAAATCCAGGGGGGGAACGCATGCATAATTGCATGGACGAGGGCTGATCTTGGGGTGTACGGGTGTAATGAGTGAAGCCAAGGGGCTTGGGAAGGGAGGGGAGTGGCCGAAGAAGGGCGCGGGGGGAACGCAGGGGGGGAGGGAATCAAGGGCTGGGAAGGGAGCCGCACCAACCAGGTACGGACGAGGACCTGGGCACCGACCAGCCCTTCCCCCCGAGGCCGAAGAAAGCGAACCAAAGATCCGCTGTCGATGTCGGTGTCGGTGCTCGTGCTCGAGGGCTGCCAGACAAATACCACTACGTACCTCACCCCTCCTCCAAAGTTGGGGAACCCAAAAGCGAAAAACCCAAATCCGCAGCCGGCGGCCTCTCCCCCCCCTTCCCCGCCCCCTTACCGCGGCCATGAGCAGGGGGTAGTTCCAGGGTGTGATAAGGCCCACAACGCCCAGCGCCTCCCACCGTACACGTACGTCAAACTCGGTCATGCCCACGTCGATGGCGGGGCCGGAGCTGTTTCGACCATCCAGCGCCTCAGCCTGACCCGCGTAGTAGTCGAAACAGGTCGCCACGTCGTCCTGATGGATAGGAGTTGATAATCCGTGGGCCGGAGATGGACGCATGCACAGTGCAAAGTACTAAATGCTGAAAGTAGGAAGGGGCCAGGCGCTTTTGCGGTGAAGTGAGGCTGAGGGAAAACGGAGGCCGGGAGGGAAAGGTTGGGACACAAGAGCGCGAGGCAAGGGCGGTGTTGCACCGGAGGATGTCCCATCGGCAAGAGTGCAAAGCGAAAGCCAACACCGTGCAGGCACTGACTTCCAGCAAAGCAAATTAAGTAGCCTTTGCTCCATACACAAAGACGATGAACTCACACAAAGCACAGAGATGATTGGGACAGAGACTCACACAAAGGATTTCTACTGTTCCGATATGGCCGGTTCAGGCTGGCAGGGGAGGGCTCTTACCATGTCCCATTCCGCCTCGTCAATTGGCTTTCCACAATCCATGGTCTCAGCTTTAGCCAGCACAGGTTTTTGATCCCGAAGCTGCAAGACCGTAAGGCATATTTCACAAGTTCTTTTAGCGTCGTGACTGCACAAAGCGACAACCAGAGAGGCCGACCTTCTGCGCGATAGCGCGGAGGAATTTGGCGCGATAGGCTCCAGTGGTGCGGCTCCAATGCCCTGATTTGAAAGCCGCCGTTGCTGCAGCAACCGCTGCGTCCACATCCTCACTCGTCGCCGCGGGGATCTTCGCGAACGACTGCTCTGTCGCCGGGTTTATGACATCCATGTATTGCCCCTTAATTGGAGCTACCCAAAAACCGCCGATATACAGCTGGCGCGCCGGGACTGGGCTGTCGGCCATTATTCAGCAGTTGATGGGAGCAAAGAGGGTCACAAGGTTTGGCTCGGCTGTAAACCCTAGTGCAGTTTTTGTCAGTGTAGCGTAACCTTTCAAGAAGTCGTGGGTCTCCCCTTGTATAGCAGGATGGTAATTTCATTCACGCGCCGTACACCCAACTCACAGGGTTCTACACCCCTGCGGTGATTGGGTGTTGTCCGTAACTTATCACGCTAGACATATTCGCCATTACAAGAACTAGTGTTTCATGTAGTCAAAACCCTCATTACTTTCTCGCTCTGATAGGGCTGTCTCAATCCTTGATCTCGTTACAAAACGTACTATAGCATCACCCCACCCATAATATATTTCCTCTTCGTTTGCTGACAAGGATGTTGCACACCAGGCAGCACGCTCATGCATCGGCATCCTCGACTCGTCGCCAAGTAGATGCACTTTTAGGGCGACGTGCCTGGACACCTTGGCCCTGTAAAACTGACGGAATCTATGCATTCCACACGTCCATTCCACAACCGTGTTGCCACAGCACGTCGTCCTCCAGCACGCCAGCACCCATGGCGTTCGCAGAGCAAGACGGCGCGTTTCGTGATCCGGCAGCTTCTACAGCTACACCCGCTACCCAGACGTTCACCTGGCTGACGTGTCGTCGGTGCAAGAAGCGCTTTGTCGCGGAGCAGAACCACCGGGGCGCCTGCAGGTGACACGAGCTCACTTCGGCCCAGAGGCCTGTGCCGCGAACCTCGCGGCCTCAGTCGGTACAAGAGGGCCATTCCCAGCCCCGTGTAGCTAATGTGCACACAACCCCTTCATCTCCGCATGAAAGGAGTAATATTATACCTGCATGCATCGCATCGCGTGAATGCTGTCCTGCCCAAGGAACATCCACATGTGTCGGTTAGGTCAAGCCTGGAGCAGCCACGTCTCTTTGCAAGATCTACTTTTAAGGGCCCACTTAAAAGCTGAAACACCGCGGTGACACTGCTTGCCGTGTCAGATCAATCCAGTTCCACGCTTAGCGCTCATCTGCTGCCAGCCTAGTACCGCCGCCAGATAAGGCGCGGAAAGCCAGGATGGCGGCAGGAGAAGGAGCTAAGAGAGATAATCCTATGTTTGTTCTCCCCTTTGACATTTTCATGTTGTCCACTCCCAAAATCGCGGTTGCTGATCAGGCTCTGATGTCCCCCTTCCGGCTGCGGTTGCGGTTGCGGCTACCACAGGTACCACAGCGAAGGATGGACCGGCGGCGAGCTTGCGAAGGTGAAGAATCCTTCTTGGGCGGGTGGTGTGCGGGGGCTCGCCCCGGGAATATGCAGTGTGGCTGTGAAGACTGTGAAGGCCGGGGTGTTGGCATTGACCTGTTCGCAGGCGCGCGCGCTGGTAGTGGCGTGAAGGCCCAACAGCCGCACCAAACCCCGAACACATCTCCGCTCCAGCCCTAACTTACGGCACCACTCGTGCACCTGTTTAGAATGGCTCCTGTGTCACACAGCCCGAGGGGCATCGCAAGCTGTGTCATATTGCTTGTGTGTGTGTGTGTGTGTGTGTGTGTGTTTGTGTTTATAGAGATAGGTAGGTATAGATGTGTATAGAGATAGGTAGGTATAGATACAGGGTGCAATTCCACCTCGTTTCCTTCCTGTGCTGCCGATCGGTCGATGCTGCGGTGTACGGCGCCTCCCGCCATGTATCCCGCCATGTACATGCTACGTCCGACCTGGATCCATGAGGCGGGGGCGCCAATTCCATCGGGCGTTGCGAGTCTGTCGGCCCCGGAAGGGGCTGAACCAGAGGCAGCGCCTGCCCTCTCAAACTCACGGACTAACTCACGGAGAGACGGACTCCTTCGCCTATTCTACCCGGGTGACCCGGGTTGCAGGCGGTGGGCTTCGTGCGGCGAAGTGAGGCTCCGGAGCACCAGTTGGCGGCTGTCATGGGGCGAACAGGACTGCTGCGGTGAGCCCGGGGGTTCGGGGCCCGGTACCTGGGGCCGATTCCGACAAAGCAGCGCGGAGTGGGAGGGCTTTTGACGCCGCGGCGGGCTTGAGTATCCGGAATTGTGATATGCTGACGGAGCGCTCTGCACGCGGAAGTGAGAGAGATAGAAGGGGAGAGAGACACAAAAAGGAAGGGGAGAGGAGTTATCTAGAAAAGTTGCTATATCTGTTTCTGAGGTCTCTGTTTACGGTAATGACGCCTGAGATAGCCTGGCGGACCGAGTCCGGAACGCACCAGCATGCGGCGGCTGGAGGGTTTGGTCTAAGCTGGCTCCCCCGCCGGCGCCCACACGCTCGTTGGTACGCCCGGGAGCCGGCGTCACAGCATCTGCGCTGCAGCTGTACCGCCTTCCCCCCGAGCCACCCGTTGGGTGTGCTATTGGTGCATAGCTCCTAAGACTTACAGAACCCCTTTCCTCTTACACTGTGTTGTGAAGTTTTGTGACACGAGAAAACTGACCGTCATCCTGCGATGCTCAGCTTTATGTATGTTGCGCTCGCTCCTCGTCGTGCAGGTTTTGGGATTGTTGTGGCGCGGAGGATGAGGACGCGCCGGGCTGTCAGGTGTCGTTTCACCTGACCTTTGATGAGGAAGAAAACGAGCGACGAGGGTGGTGTTAGCGGGTGCGGTAGTGACTCAGATCGCGGAACTGAACCTCGTACTGACATATTGAGCCTGCGGGTTAGCGCCGCTTTTCCCCTCGGACGGCGGAAGGAAAAAGAGGGAGGGTTTATGTGACAGGACCGGGGTAGAGTTGGCTGTCTCGAGGAAGATCCTTGCGCGTAGTGGAAAGGAAGGCACGAGACTGCTGCAACATGCACACACTTTTCTGTCACGATGTTTTTGGGTTGTGATGTGTCGTACTTCCCCACGTTTGCCGCCAAGGTTGACAGAGTTGTTTAACCAGTGTGATCTCGTCAGAGCCCGAAGCTGCTGCATGGTGTGGATAGCCCATGGTGGTTGACCCCTTGCGACGGCGTCAACTTTCTTCGGGCCCTGAGAGATGCTGAGAAAAAAAGGCGGTGTGGCATTCCTGCCGCGTGCTCAATGGTCGCATATAACGGCTGTCTGTCCTGTCTAGTGTTACAACCCATCGCGGCGAGCAGAAGGTGGGTCTTCCTAGGACTCCTTGCCTCCGCTGCTCGCGAGGGGCAATCTGCACAAGGATGTGCACCACGCCATGTCACACCTCTCTTCGTTGGCTTTACTACTTGGCCTGGCATTGCGTTCTCATTGCATTTGCCAGAATCGGAATTCGGCTTGTTACGGCCACGACTTCCGGCGTCGGCAGCGCTGTCACCATCCGTTGGAATTGCCGCCGAAGCCGCAGGTGAAGAACTGCTGGGATCCAGCCACTCTTAATTCGCCTACGCGCGGAGTCAAATGTAACGTGGCTCCAGCACGCAGGCGGTGGTTTGGCCCATCGCGACATCGTCATGTTCAGCACCTTTGGCCGGGCTAGATACCAGGGGGCCCACCCTACCCCACCCCACTCCATGTCCGCTGCTCTTACATTTTATTCCCTTCACGCAGCCTCCAGGGGTCAGCACCTCCGGCGATATTTCCTCATTCCCTCTGCCTCCTAGGAATTAAACGAGATGGCCCTCTCGGATGGCAATCCTAGAACCACTCTTAACAACCACGCTGTACAGATCCCGACGCTGACCACGACTCAGCTTTGCAATCCATCATTATCAGACGACTCGGAGCGATCGGCAAGTGGGTCGTCCGGGAGGAAGTAAAATCACCGGGGGCCACAGCCAACAAAACCCTAACACATCGCCTTCGACGCCCCGCGCCGCGCCGGGAAGCCAGCGGAAGGGAAGCCGACGATGAGTTCTGCCATCGCACTGCCAATCACTGACGAGACTGCGGCTGCCCGAAACCCCCTTCCCCGTATGCGAGCACAACCACACACTCTAGAAGCCTGCGAACGAAACCAGGCACGGCGACACTCAAAAAAATCTCACCTTGATGTACTATCATGCGACAGCTTTTGCCAACGCAACGAACAGCTCTCCTCACACCTTTCCTTTGCACGGGGACTAGTAACGGTACGGCCGGACCGGCCTATACGCCGCTGTGCATGTCAACAAAGGACTTGGCGTAACCGTTACATGCTGGCAGGGGAGGGCATCATCATTACCACTACCCTTCACACCAATTTGCATAAATCCCCAACATCGCCATAATGCTCTTACCGCCTTACATCCACACGACCCGCAGTCCGTGCAGCAATCAGTCAAGTTCATGCCATCAGCACCAGCAGCATGTAATTGTTTCGGTAAACTCTGCTTGCCTTCCCAGGGCGGATACACGTTTTCGTGACTCACGTGCTTCCGTATCTATACGTGAGGTACGGGTCCATTACCAGGTGGCCTCCTCTTCCTCCTCTGTTCATCGCTATAGGACCCTCAAGCAGCGCCGTCCGGGCTCAAAGCACAAATAGCAGCGTATAGCTGATGAAAACACCAACGTCCCATGACATTCCGGCGCCCTAAAACCCTCCTCGCGGAATACCCGCGGCACCGCCCGCAGCCGCACTGAAGCCGCTTAGCGGCCTGAGGGGCGCCACGCCAAACGCTTGAGCACACAGAAGCCCCATCCATTCCTCGTCAACCTGCCTGGTCGAAAATCAGCCTTGCCTTTGCCCGCGGCGTAGAGATCTTAACCTTCCTGCAGTCAAGCGTGTCCGGACCGCACCGGTAACAGTCCGGGACGGTAATAGTCGAGAATTGATCACCGCCTACTAGAGCTCCATCAGGCCGGGTGAAATCCGTCGCCACGACACATGGGGAGAGCAACCCGCAAGCCCTAACCGGGAATAACGTCACCAGACCCAACCCAAGTCTACAGCCACATTTTGCTAAAGCATAAGGCACCGGTGGAGAGACGGTGCATCGCTACACGGCACCACCAGGTCTTACTGGCCACGCCGAGAACCCTTTCCTCCCTTGGCATGACCCTCCTATGCGCGCGAATACCTCCCTGGAGAAGAAATTCGCCGGCCAACGCCTTACCCTCTATAAGATGACGCAGATGCCCATTACAACGCGCTCCTGGCTCACAGACGTCGCCGCTAATAATGCGCGTGCTACCCAACCCCAGCAGAAGCACATCGTGTCGCTGGCTCTTCCGACAACCCTTAGGCTGAGGCCAATCCGTCCGAGCGGTTACGAGCGCGTTCGTTCACATACCGGCGACACAAGACCAAAGGCACGGACCCTGGACGATTTCTCAAGCTGTGAGGACATCATATATGACCGACAACATGAACTCTATGCAGCCCTAAACAGCCTACCGAGCATGCATGGCACAAGCAAGTTCCCGTGGTTCCCGTGTTGGCGCCTATCGTTTTTACCCAGTTGCTTGTCGTCCCCCCTCGCGCCTTGGCAGCCCGCTCGCAAGGCCTTCAGTGCAGCACAGCAACACGTGATGTTTGCAACAAAACGGCGGCGTTGGGCTTCATCCTCTCATCCCAACATACATGGGAGGCTCCGTGAAGCCCAATCCCGCTTCGCCGCCGTCCTCAACGCTGTTATGCGGGGCACGCGTCGGGGCTGCAACCCCCGTTCCGATGTGCTAACCCGCCGTTGGCTGCGGCGCAGCGGCGGCTTGCTGCTGCTGCTGAACACCCGGCGGTCCCTGGACCATGCCCGACTGTACCATCCCAGGCTGCAACAAACCGCCTCCTGAAAGCTGCATTTGCTGCTGTTGTTGCTGCTGCGCGGCGGCAGCGGCTGCCGCCGCCGCGACCGCATGGATGGCAACCTGCTGCTGCTGTTGCTGCTGCAGGTTGGGCTGCAGCCCACCCGGCTGCGGGCCTGGCTGCATGCTCAGCTGCTGCTGCAGGGCGGCAGGCATCTGGGGAAGGCCGGGCCGTGCGGCCATGCTAAGAAGCGCACCCGGATTTTGGTTGATGAAGGCGGCCATGTTCGGAGGCAGCGTGGATGGCGCCAGACTGCCGGGAGGCCCCTGTCCAGGTGGGAGGCCTCCGGCTCCAGCCTGCCCCTGAGCGCCCCCGACCGCTGCTGCTGCGGCCGCTGCCGCCGCTGCAGCCTGCTGCTGCGCCTGGAACTGCGCTAACGCAGCCTGTTGTTGCTGCAAGTGTGCATGCTGAGCAACGAGCGCTGCATGCTGCGCGTTCGTGTGGCCCTGGGCAGCTACCGCCGCTGCAGCTGCTGCAGCCACAGCTGCCTGTTGTTGTTGCTGCTGTTGTTGCTGTGCTGCCATAGGCAAGGAGCCCGGCGCGCCCATGCCATGCGCTTGGCCTGCGGCAGCCGCTGCCTGCTGATGCTGCTGTAGCTGCTGCTGCTGCAGCTGCTGCTGCATGGCGGCCATGGCTTGCGCGCTGGCCTGCGGCGTTAAACCCGTTGGCCATTTTGCTGCGGCATTCGCCTGGCCGTTCATCTGCCCCGCTGCAGCTGCTGCCGCCACAGCCGCTGCCTGTTGCTGCTGTTGCTGCTGCAGCGCAACCATGCTCTGCTGCATGGACGCTAATGCGGCCTGCTGCTGCTGTTGTAGCGTCTGCTGCAGCCCACCCGGCAGCGCCCCCATCCCCGCCGGCAACCCAGGGATTTGCCCGGCGCCAGGCATCCCGCCAGGCTGCCCCTGCTGCTGCATTCCCGGCTGTTGCTGCTGCGGTTGCTGCAGCCCCTGCTGTCCCGGCACTTGGCCCTGTAGCCCAGGCTGTTGCCCCGGGGTGAGCTGCCCCGGTAAGGCACCCGGCTGCCCGGCGAGGCCGCCAGACGTTAGACCCGGAGTCCCAGGCGCGGGTAGGCCCCCAGGCATCATAGGCGGTCGCCCCGCACCTCCCGCTGCGGCTGCAGCGCCGGCGGCTTGCATTTGCTGCTGCATTTTTTGCTGCAGCGCCTGCGAAAAAGGTGCAGTAGTGTGTACGCGTGTGTTCTTTACGCAACGCGGGGGTGTGCGGGTGAGCCGAGTGTCGTATGTGGTGAAAGCCTGGATTGCGGGCAGCCGGTGTAGCGGCAGTACACCTACGGAGAGAGGCAATCGGCCTAGAGCGGCGGCGGCACGCGCGCGTCCTAGCATGTTCTGCTACACCGGCATATAGCAAAGGAAAAGCGCTTGGAGAGCTACATAGGCCGCATGCAGGGACAGCGCCCCAACATATGCCACTAGCGATTCAGCATGGACGCCTAGCAGGACTGCAGGGACAGCTCTCCTCACCGATAAACAGAGAGCTGTCTCACAGCTCCTATAGCCGGATTGGCTCCTATCAGGACAACATCATTCAACAGATCGCTCCGTGTATGCTTCTATACGGTATAACTATGTCGTATGCTCCATCGAATCAAGCGACGTTTTCCGACGGTCACCGTGCACGGCTCTTCTTATCCGCCCGTTACCCCTGTGCACTGATGCTCAGAAAGAGACTTTGCGCCGTGCACACGTCCCTGGGGGCAAGGCGACGTCTGTCCATAGGTGCCATCACCACACAGCGCCTACGGATTACACGCACGCATGAAACCACGCACCTGGAGGCTTGCCGCGTTCTGCATTACTCCGGGCTGCAGGCCGGCCTTCTGCATCTGCGCGGCAAGGGCAACCGTGTTCATGGCTGCTGTCCCGGGAAGGCCCCCGGGAATAGCGCCCAGCATGCCCGGCAGCCGGCCTGCAAGCGCCTGCATCTGCAGCTGCGTGGGGTGAGCCGGTGGCCGTTGTATGGCTGCTGCAGCCGCCGCGGCTGCTGCCGCCGCCGTTGCCGCATTCCCTTGGGTCGCAGCACCCGCGGCACCGGCGCTTCCGGCCATGGGGTTCGGCGTCGGCGGCTTGTTTAGCTGCGCTGCCGCTGCGGCTGCTGCCGCCGCTGCCGCTGCGGCGTTCCCTAACCCTGGCTGCTGCGATTGCAACATCCCCGGTTGCAGTTGCGTCTGTAGGTTCCCGGACTGTAGTGCCTGCTGCGCTCCATTGGCTGCTCCGGGTTGTATAGCTTGCTGCCCAGGCGGTAGCTGCCCCTGCTGGGGTTGCCCCTGCTGTCCTTGTTGTCCAGCAGCTGCAGCAGCAGCTGCGGCTGCCGCCGCGGCTTGCTGCTGTTGCTGCTGCGCCGCCACCGCTGCGACCGCAGCCGCCTGCTGCTGTTGCTGCTGGGCGGCCACTTGTTGCTGGAGTTGGACAGCATTGGCCGCGTGCTGCTGCTGTTGTTGTTGCTGCATGGCTTGTTGTTGCTGCTGCATGGCTTGTTGTTGCTGCATGGCTTGTTGTTGCTGCTGCATGGCTTGTTGCTGCTGCATGGCTTGTTGTTGCTGCTGCATAGCCGCTGCTATTTGCTGCTGCTGTTGCTGCTGAGCGGCTGCCGCTGCCACCAGCTGCTGAGGTGTTGGCTGCTGGCCCGTTACACCAGCAGGCGCGCCAGTGGCCAACCCAAGCTGCTGCTGCTGCTGCTGCTGGGCAGCAGCTTGCGCCTGTGCCTGCTGTTGCATCATCTTCTGCTTCATCATTTGCGATTGAAGCAGCGCTTGCTGGTTCGCGAGCATGGCGGGGTTTGGGGCCCGGACAGGCTGCATGCCCGGCAACGATGGCATAGACTGTAGGGGCGGTGTGGGGACCCGACCTTGTTGGTGTTGCTGCTGCAGGGCCGCCGCAGCAGCAGCCATTTGCGCGGCATTGGGCTGGGGTTGGCCGGGCGCAGGGACTCCTGGCGGCGCACCAGGCGCCATACTGAGGCCCTGCTGCCCAGCTGCCTGCTGCCCTTGAGCCGCTGCTGCCGCAGCAGCTGTGGCAGCAGCCGCGTGCTGCTGCTGGGCCTGTTGTTGTTGCTGTTGCTGCTGCATAGCAGCCTGTTGTTGCTGCTGCTGCTGCATGGCTTGTTGCTGTTGCTGCTGCATAGCGACCTGTTGTTGCTGTTGCTGCATGGCTTGCATCGCGGTCTGCAAGCGCGCGTTCTGCTGGGCCATCGCTGCCACCGCCGCCTGTGCAGAGACCGCATTCGGTGTCATCGCCGCTGCCTGTTGTTGCTGCTGTTGCTGTTGTTGTTGTTGCTGCTGCTGCTGGATGGCTGCTAGTTGTGCCGGGTGCATCGCGCCTGGATGCATGACGCCGGGCTGCATCTGCTGCTGCCCTTGCTGCTGCATGCCCTGTATTCCTCCAGTATGCGCCTGCCCCATACCAGGCGGCAGCGTCCCCGGCATGCCAGGCCCGGATTGTTGCGATTGCAAGCCCCCTGCTGCTGCTTGCGCTGCGTCAGACATGCCGGGTTGTTGCTGCTGCTGTGGTTGTGGTGGCGGTTGCGCCAGGGACTGCTGCTGCTGTGATGGCTGTTGCTGCGCCTGCGGCGGTTGCTGCATCCCAGGCCCCATGGACGACTGGCCCTGCAGGTGCGACGGCTGGGGCTGGCTGCCCAAACCAGGGCCCCCCTGAGTAGCACCCGAACCGCCCTGCATGGCCGCTGCCGCCGCGGCCGCCACTGCTGCGGGGTCGGGAATGCTGGGGCCCAGGCCAAGCTCTAAGGGGTTGAGGATGCGACCTCCGTTGGCCTGTGTGAGAGCGCATCAGCAGGTGAGAGCATCCCTCTTCGAGGTCATGGGAAAACGGTAATGCGGACAAGTCGCTTATGTGAGCCGCACCTCCCCGGCAGCTCTCATCCAGAATCACGTCACTATGACCCTGGCCTACGTCAGCCAGCTCGCGAGCAGCAGCAAGACCTCACTTAAATGCGACATGCGTCACATGTGGACGGATACGGTGCTCAGGGCGACATATGCGTGCTGGCGGAAAGCCTTAAAGACCCCCGAACGGAATCTCTATGCCCGCTCCCTCGCCAACAGTTTCAAGACCCCCAATAGCCTTCAGGCCACGCAACGACCCATACGCAACGACCCATACGCAACGACCCATACGCAAAATATTACCTGCAGCACGTTTTGGGAGACTATGTAGTGGCTCGTGTGCTGCTCGTGGCGCGTCCTGTACATTTCCCGTTGCTGCTGTCGCTCCCCATGTCGTTTCGTCCGGAAGCGCACGTGCAGGTTGGCCACCGCTTCCTGGTGCCGTCTTAGTGTGGCCTCCGACACGGGCAGCACCTGGTATAGCACCTCCTTCGCCTTTGAGGGTGGGAGGAAGCGGAAGTGCACGCCGTACGCGAAGAAGAGGAGAACACACAATGGACGCGAGCAGGGCCCGTGGGGAAGGGGTGATGGAGAGGGAAAGGTTGAGCTCCAGCTGGGACCGACGGAAGGCCACGACTTGGAACCGCATGCATCTCATGACGGGTGCGACGGATGCACGTGGGCACAACACACGCCAAGAAGTGACGAGGGCACGATGAAGCTCAAGCCAAAGAGCTACTTTAAGGGTAAGGAGAGTAAAAGATGGCCAAGTTAAGAGCCCGACAAGCCGTGCGGAGCGCCCCCGGACGCATAAACCGTGTCACTGTCCAGGATATCGTAGGTGACGTTGCAAGTCCGCTACGCAGCTGCATAACCCTGTCACTCCTGGGTGTCCCCCGGACGCACGGAAGCGCTCCTGGGTGCCCCTGGCGACGCTCCGCCCCAACATAACGCCACCAGCCCCGCCCAGCCTTTACCTGTTGTTTCGGCATAATGGCCAGCGACAGCGCGTTGTGTTGCGTCTCCGGTGCGCCCTCCTCGCCATTCTCTTGCTGCCAAGCCTTGACCAGCATGGCATACCGGTACTTGCAAATCTCCGGCCGCCGGTAGACGCCCTGTCAGGATGACCCACAGCACGCGGGAAAACCCGGAAGCCAGGCATGGATTGATAATAATGAGGAACTGTATGACAGTTTTTACACAAAATTGTATGGGACTGTACCCAAGAGCAGAAAATAGGGAGCTAGGTGCGTGCACGTTTAAGCACGTTTAATAAACAACCAATCCGGCACCAATTAGATGGTAAAATATGATGGGCAGTTAGGTGCACTGGGATGACCTACGTGCATGACCAACATGAAGGCAGAGCGGGGGTAAGACGACCCACTGACGATTGAAGTCGAGCGGGGAGGCCAGGAAGGACATACCCAAAAGCGGAAAGGTCCTTCTTCCTAACCCCCCCCCGCCATGCGCGCAAACACGCGGGCCATGCATGCAGCCACCTACTCAACCACCCCCCAGCACCCACCAGCATGTTGTTGGCGGAGCGCATGACGTCCGCCACCAGCAACCAGTTTTGCGTAAACTCGGTAACGATGGCAGCGAGCACCTTTAGGAGGGTGAGGGGACGCAGGGTCAGGAGCATACGCGCATGGTAAGCAGCACGGCCGCGTGCACGAGGATCAGCACACTTTCGGTTGCTGTAGAATTAACGTGCGCGACCGTAGTAGACTTGGAGTGATGGGAGAGTGATGTCAACTGGAAGGGTGCCTAGATGGCCATCCCGTTTCAAGCCATCAACACGCCGTATCCGTAGTACCCCGGAGGTTCCTCGGATACGGCGTACTGACGGCATATCCGAGGAGCCTCCGGGGAAGGGACAATGCAGGACAATGTCGGCGCGGGGATGGAGCGGTGGTACTGGTCACTGGCCCAAGCCACGTGCGAAGGGGCCGGGGTGGGGCCAGTAGGCAGCATGTGCACTGGGACGATGGGACGGGGAAGACTTGAGTTAGCAACAGCAAGTTGTCGTCGGTCACTAAGAGACATATTTCGGGCGTCGCGGCGCTCTCTCCCCGGACTCCAGTGCTCCCATGCTAGGTGGAATTCAGGGTTATTATTGGAGCGACGCATTGGGCCGTTGGGAGGAAGCTTGTAAACTATTTTTCCTAAAGTCTTTTAACGAAATTCAATAAACGAGGCAGGCAACGTTTTCTGAAACTAGCAGCCTGCCCCTGCCTCGTGCTCAAGGCCACAGCTAGTGCATTCGCACAGCATCCACGGGAGCTCCAACCCCTGTTGCTGCCGTCGCCGCCGCTGCTTCTGTTCTTAATCCCTTCCCCTCCCCTTTTCGCTGCTCGCTGTTGGCGTCCATGCCTACATCTACCCGCACTCGTGTGTCCACGACCACATGGCCACATCTTCTCCCTCCCTCCCTCCACCCGCCTACCAGCACACGCGCAAAGCATCTGTGTGGAATCCCAGTACCCCACCCGCATCCGCTCCCAGCCGTTCACGCACACTCCTATACCATCCTATAGCGGAAACGGACCACACAGCTAGCTTGCCCTGCCATTTCACCCACCCAGCCACCCACCACCCGTCAGCATCCCCTTCACCAAAACCCCAACCCACCTGGTCGTCCGTCCCAGACCAAGGCAAGCCGCGCATGCCGCCGTCCGGTATGTTGGCAGTGCCGCGAAGCAGCGGGTGCTTTAGAGGCCCCACGGCGGAGCCCTTGGGGGCTCCCGCATGTGCGCCGGGTCCCTCGCGCCCCGCCCCGAAACCACCGACCGCATGAGCACCTCCCGGCGGTTTTGCGGGGCTCTTGAGCTTCTTCGACTGCGGGCGGACAGATAAACAGACAGACAGAAGTGCGTTCCGTGCAGTCAGGTGAATGTGACGTACGCGCCATTTTGTCATTTGCCACGTGGGCGAGACACACACACACACACACGCACACATCGCAAACAGAAGTTAAGCGCATTCCGACGTTTTAGTCCTTTGCCAAAGGAATACTTCCATTGCAGCGCCTGCCAAAACAAGTTGAGCAGCTCGCCCGCCCATCCAGGCTTGTACTGGCATATCCATGCCACGTGGCCTTAGCGGCCTTCCAGCTCGCCGTGGCCTGCCCCCAGCCCCAGCCGCGGCACCGAGCCCCGGCCTCTTTGCTATTCGGCTTGCTAAAGCCCAACCACCTAACCACCCGCGCAGCAAAGGCAACTCTGCCTCCCCGAGAGCAGCTGCAATCTTCTACCCACTCCCCAACGGCTGTCTCACCCGGTCGTCTTTAAGACCTGCTGCCGTCTTCAACTTCAAGCCCTGCGTGCGTCCCGAAAGCGGCAAAAGAAAACGGCATCGCGCAGTCGCGCAGGACGCAAAGCGGCACGGGTCTGCTTGGCAAAGTCGCGAGGCCAAGTCACGACACCACCCGGGTGGGGTGCATGTCACCCACAATCCAGGCCCTTCAACCCCAAGGCACAATGGTTGGGTTCTCCCTAGATCAAGAGGCTTAGCTTCGGGCAGCAACAACGGACCACGGAGCAACCACCGTTGGGGCAATCTGAAGCAAAAACTCACACGTGCAGGTAGGATCCCCCACCCCACTTCACCCCACTGCGGGGAGTTTCCTGTCCGATTCGCAACCCGAATCCCCCTGCAAAGTATCCTGACCCTCGTGCTGGCTCCATGCAGAAACACTTGCCGCGTCTGTTCGAATCCGAAGCATGCCAAGGCCCCTGTTACCCCTCCCCAGACACTGACCTGAACAACCCGCCATTGGCCCCCTCCCCATCCCTAAACCCAACCCATCTAAGCCGGATACTCTGTACTTCTGTTGGCCCCATCCATCTTCTCGTTGGCCCCCACCCGACCTTATTGGCTGGGCCCGGTGCCACCACAGCATCGTCGTCCTCGAAGTCCCGTATCTGCTTTCGCTTTCGCTTGCTGGGATGTACGTCGTCATCGGCCGCGGCGGCCGCAGCTCGGTGCGCAGCTGCCCCTACAAAACACACACACACACATACAGACAGACAACCATATCATCACCCCATGGAACCCCCCTTCTCGCCTTCTCGCCAAACCCGACACCAAGCCAAGAGAAACATCCAATCCAAAAGATCCTTACGCCACCTTACGCTGTAACCCTTGACTGCCTTCAGGTGGATATAACCCCCCAAATGTGAAGTTGTAAACAGACGGGTGGCGATCCCGGAAGCCGTAGGAGGGCTATCTTGGGACCCGCGGCGGCACCCCACTCACCGCCGGGCCCAATGCGTCGCGCCGCAGCCCCGCCCGCCACACCACCGACACGATGATGTGTGGGTGCGGGGCTGGCCTCGCCCAGAGAGTCCGTGTCATCGGCACCAGAGGGCAGCGCCAACTTTGGCCGTGCGCCGGTGCCTTTCCTAATTCCCCCGAGGGGAAATTTGCGGCCGATGGGCATGTCCTCCGCGTCGGAAAGCTGCGGAAGCAAAGTGGAAGCAGAGGGATATCATGCAGATGCAGAAAAAGGGGGAGGCGGGAGACAGAAGGGGGAAGGAGGAAAGACGTCGGGTTGGGGGGTCAGTGGACAGGACGGCAAGCGAACCACATGGGTGTGCACACACGACGTTGCGCGGGCCGGTGGTGAGTGCTGTATGAGCTATGAGCTGAGCGCGTGGATGCGAGGTGTGAGGCCAGGGGACCAAAGTAAGTAGTGGCGGAAGTGGCGGGGAGATGGGTGGTAGGGGCTGAGGTGTTGTGCAGGTATCCTGAGGACAACGCAAGGAAATGCGTTGCCATTGCTCATCAATCCCGCAAGGCAGGGTGTCCCCGAGCGCAATCCCCACGGTAAGGCTTGTAATCATAACAATATACAAAAGGGAGGGGTGGGGTGCGCGCGAAACTTACCGCCGACGACGACCGCGCGTACTGCGCCGCGTCGTACGCCGCCTTGTAATCTGAGACCAGCTCTGCATAGGCCGTCAGCCGAGCAACATCCTCCTCCTGCGGGATCGACCGCCATGGATCATGAAACAACCCCAGATCCGACACAAGTGGATATAGAAAAAGCGCGTGCTTGAGGAAAGGGGGCCCCGAAGCACGAGTGTGCAAACGGAGTCCTGTCCCAAAAGAGCACCAAAGCGTGGCGAAGCGAACATGGACAGGTTTTCAGGCTAGCGGCATCGCGCCTGGAAGGAAGGTCGCGCCCTTAGGAGAAGGTGCAAGCAGCACCAGCAGCAGCACGAGGGAAGAAGCCAAAGTTGACAATACCCAGCACGGGTTCTAAAAATGGCTCAAGAAGCACGTGGTCCCGTCTGCTGCCCGCACCCCGGGAAGAATCGACCGGATGAGGGCCATCACGCCCCACAACTGAATTGCAATCGCGCAATAGGTCAAGGAGTTAGGTCCTTATCGTCCTTTCCATCTCTTACCACCCACCGCAAACCATCCCCGTAGCCCCTTGCACTGACCTGGTGCACAGAGCAACCCCAAAGGTTGGTCGCCAACCCAACCCACCGCAACCCTGCCATCGCGTGCTGCTGGCGACTATGCAAGACACAGCCTCAATGCCCTCCTGCCCGCTGCTGCCGCACACAGTCCCCCAGCCAACACCCCAAGCACCCGCACCCGCAGCCGCAGCCTACCTCCGGCAGCACCCCAGACCCAGACCCGCCCCACCCGCAACCCCACCTCTAGCTGGCGCACCACCGCCTCCATCAGCTCCTCCGCGCTTACGAGCACCCCAAAGGTGAGGTGGTCGCAAAGCGGTAGGCCCGGCAGCTCGGCCTCGCGGTCGGGAGTGGACGGCGCGGTGGGACCTGCACCGGCGCGGCGAGCCCCGGGGACAGCAGCCGCCGCAGAGCACGGGGAAAACCGGTCAGCCATACGGGATGCAGCGTAGGCTGTGCAGCTGCAAGGCCGACCCGGGATCGACGTGAGGCCGAGGGTGACGGAGAAACGACCGGCGACCCGCCCATCCCACCCCGCGATGAGCCAGCGCCCATCTCCCCCGCAAAACTTAGTATTACAGCCTGCGCATACGGACTGCCAGGATCTGGATTCGGTCCACGACTGCTCCTAGCCCAGGGCTTCATTGCATGATTTTCCAATTTACTAAGGACGAATACATCCATACAGTGGAAGCCCAACCGAATGAATGCAACCCGATAGAACATCCCACCCCAACAATCCTCCCTGCCCTCCGCCTAAAACCATCGACGGCCCCAGTTTCACCCGATGGCCTGAGAGCCCCCCTCGGGACAGAGCGGATCCGAACGAAACACAACATACAAAAAGCCCAAAGGGTTATACAGTCATCGATTCCGAGTCTGGGTGAGAGGAAGGGTACTCAATCCCGTATGACTGATGCACGAGTCAGGTATGAGCCACACGTAACGCAACGCACCAGACTCCGTGCCCCCGTTGGGCAGCTTTCGGCTCCGCCCATCCACTGCTTCCGCCAGGCTCCCCTTCACCCGACCCAGCTCCTCTGGAGCGCATTCCAAGGTAACCTTGGTTTGCACGTGCTGCAGGTCCGATATCCGTTGGGGCCCAGAGAACCACGGGAACAGGGGAACAGAATCGTCACGGGTGCTACACAAGCAACCGGAGACGGGTCATATGTGCGATTATTTTTCAACGTCCTAGCACAGCCCTGCGCCGTCCTCAAAAAGTACTCCCAAAAGCACATACCCCGGCATGACGTGGGTCGAGTCTGTCAACGAAAGGACCCACAAGCCGCATGGGCGCAGGATCCGCAGTGAGCGCGCCAGCAATAAACAGTTTGACAGCGCAGGCTGAGGATAGTGCTGCGGCCTTACGGCTTCATACAGACGAGGCAGCGTGCAGGGATTAATTGCCGCCGTGCTTCCGCGCACCTTAAGCTTCGTGCGATCGAAGCTGGCAGCATCGTGCGCTATCCGCATGGCAGCGGCTTGCTTCCATAACCGTTCCTGCGGGACCAGGGATTTGGGTCAGTCGGGGTCTGAGCATTTGGGCGAGAATCTGGAGATGCAGTGAGTGACCGGCAACAGTTATTGGGGTGCTGCAACTGCCGTGAGCGGGTGCACAGGACATGTGGCTGAACGAGATCTGCTGGCACTGCTTGGCAATTGCTTGGTTCGACACAGAAATGCTGCTGAGGTTTCCAGGCGCAGACGGATGCGCACTGCACCGCCTGTCTGGTACGAAACCGGCGCCAGCCGAGAGGGAAACCGACGAGGATTCAGGCGCCGGGGGTCGGAACATGGAATCCTGGACCTATTACGAGAGCCTATTTTCAAATGCTTCGGCCGCACACAGAGCGGCTATTTGTTCGGTTGAGGTGGTACGCCAGAGGCAACTTCTGCTCCAAGCATACCATTGTACGGAAATTTTAACTGACAACCCCAACGCAATCGAGCACGATGTAGGGGCAGGAGCGCCTCTCCCTTGCATGTGCGTCTGTCGCCCCATGCGACCGACCTGCATGAAGTCCTCCGCAAGCCACTGCGCCTCCCGCAGAAGGTAGTCCCAGTGAGTAGCCTGTCGTTTTGGCTCCTCGCAGGGGAAATTAAACGCTGCCGCCAGCGATTTCCATTGCGCCTAAGGACACATAGCGTTCCGTGAATCTGGGCACCCACGCGCGAAGGCGCTAATGGCAAGCATATGCGTAGCTGTCAGGGGGCATGCGCGCCGACCCGAGCTGTCTTTGAAAGTCACACCTTAAGCACTGTCGCCTTCTCCAGCAAAGCATCCTCCTTTGGCTTTTGGTCAGCGGTCGCCGACATGGCGTTGATGTTAGTTCGGTCAGCTGAAGCTAGTGGGGCGGCGAGTTACGCCATGAGACCACGGCAGCCGCCCCAAGCTCCAACTCCCGGCGCAATAAGTTGAAATTATTGTAAGTAAATAGCAGTTGAATGAGGTTGATGCAGTCGAGTAAAAACGTAACCTAATTGAACCAGAAAGGAACCGGGAAATGAAAGCTACGCCAACATGCGCTGACTACAAATCATTAATGGTGTTATAGAAGTCTTCTATCGCGTCACCGCTTGGTCAGCGCTTCTGAAGCCTGGGACAGGCTACACATGAAAACATGGAAAGTTTTCGCAGGAATCGATTAGGGCCCAGCCGTGCCATATTGGCAAGCGTTCAACTCCTCGACATCATCGCAGACCGGTTTGCTGGCCACGTGCACGCAGGTAGCCTGGTTTTGGGAGACGGATGTACGGATGCCCGCCAAATCGTGTGTAATGTGTGCTCATTTTGCGGAATTGACACTTGTACTTCTATGTCTTAAAGTACAAAGATTTTAAAGCGACAAGTTGGAAGTCCCTAGAGGCAAACCATGCCCTTGTCGGGCCTGAGCACAGTCACAACCCTTTGGGGGTTCTACAACCATAGCGCATAACCCCTCCCCAACTCTCCACCTCCTGTACCTCCTCGCAACATGCACAGCGCAATGCATAACCCTACAAACTGGTTTGCACAACACCACCCCATTCTGCATGGAACGGTTGAACATCACCACCGTACTGTGCAGCTGACATACGAACTGCAAAGCTGCATACAAGCAGGTAACAGTTGGCCGTTGCTACTGCAGCCACTGTAACTTTCTAACATTGATGCTATGTTTCGACAGCATATGAACAGCGATGCCTTTGCACATAAAACAAGCGCGTCGGTTGAGCCAGGCAGTTGAGCAGACCGGTAAGCAAATACCCGGGGAAAGCATCGAGTGGGAGATGCATGGCACTGTCGCACGACGGCTACGTAACACATGCTGTAGAGCGCATTCCATTACACGGATGCTTCATGAGTTCCGGGTGTTTTTATTCCATCAATTGCCTACTTTGCGAGCCCCGATTTTATGAACCTTATGGGCTTGAGCCGCGATCCCCCCTATGAACTACCTTGCACAAAGCTCCGTATTGTTCGCAATGTGCCAATATCATTTCGATCCATTCCGTCTTGTCCGCAGCTTCTGCAAACCTTGTGCGCACGTGCTGAACTTATGCCCGATATGCTCATATAACAGAAATACCCGACATCAGTCAACTGTACGGTGGCGGGAGGTGCAATGATCTGGGGAAACCTATAACCTCACTACCGTTGCCCTATTAACACACGCCTGAGTTCAGGCTGAGGCTTAATGTTCTTTTAACTATATATCCGCTGTAACTGCTGCCACACGTCCGCGAAACCGTATAGGTAGAGCACTTGGCAGTACAAGTACAGGAGGTATACAGTTTACACGTTCTCGTCAGTAGGTACCCTGAGGCAGAGAATACGTGCATTTTTCTTTTAAGCCCGCACCGTTCGCCCTTTCATCCTTCGGCGTTACCCAATACGGTCTTCTCCCCATTCCTAAAAAATGTAAACATGCCCTGTCCAAGACACCATATCGTCGGTGCCGCAGCGACAAGGGTGTTCTGTTGTGTGTTGGTAAATTGGTAATTCCCAACCATCCTGCAAGTACTATCTTAGGGTTTCCCATAACTGCGAGATCCTCCGCAACATTGCAGCACGACAACATGGCTACTGTCCGTGTGACTGTACCGCCACCGTGTCACGTCCACACACACACCCCACAACAGCGCATATTCCAATCGCCTTGACCTGAGCCGACATATCACAATACTGCTCAACACCTTTTAATGGTTAACGCTTATTTTAACGGTTAACGCTGGCAAGAGGCACCACGCATGGGCGAGCAGGCCCAAGCAGCTCCCATTTCACCAGCCGTCTACCGAACGCCGAATGGCCAGCCGGCTGGCCACTTAATCTGTCCGAAGGGGTCCGTCCCTCCCTGGCTGGCCTGGTAGGCATTGGAGTTAGAATTGCCGTTGCCGTAGCTTTGTTGAACGTTGTTGTTGTTGCCGCTCGAGCTGGATGGCGACCCGCTTTGCTGCTCACCGTTGCTGTCGGATTGATGGTGGCAATCGACTTCACGGTAGGAAAGCCCGATGACGCCAACGTTGACATCAGCAAGCTGCGGGGTTGGCAAAGGTGGCAAAAAAGAACGGAGGCAAGGAGCGAAGGTGGCGCGTCATTATGGGAAGGTCCGTACAGTTCACACGAATCCGGAAACGCTGGCATAGAAAGAACGCCGATGCAGCAAGCGTGGCTTTCCCATGATATTACACAAGCATGCAGGCCCATACAAGCAGGGCGCAGCTAAAGTAAGGTATAGTTGGCGAGAAGACTGCAGCCAGCTATCATTTGTACCCTGGCGAAATTTTAATTTTTTAGTTCATTTCAAAAGTTCGCTAAAAATGCGAGTCCGGGGTGCGGGTGGGGGCCAACTCTGGCACGCATCGGTGTTGTCGGGAACCATATCTCACCTGCTGGAAAGCCTCTTGGGAGATGTCCAGGTGGTTCTGCACACCAAGGCAGGGCAACTCAAGGCAGGAAATTTGTAAAGAAAGAATAGGATAGTAGAACAAAGCTCTGAATAGGCCTTTCGTGTGCCTTAACTCACCATGTCGCCGCAGCACCAGCGGCGGTTGGAATGGGCATTGTTTGGGTACTACGAACGGGTAGCGAAGGAAAAAAGTGGGTTTACGTCATGCGTACGGCTTATTGATTTTGAAGAGGCATTTGGCGAAGCATTTATTATTCACAAGCAATAGTAATAGCATCTGCCTACTTCAGCAACCTGCGTAGCGGGCCTAAGTAAGCTTGGGAAGCTCAAGCTCATGTGGGTCACATGTCAAATCTGGTCAAATTCAAGCGGATTGATATTGCCCTTACAACGAAACAAGACAGTATGATCCACACTAAAAAGGGACGAAGGAGTTCATCCCCTAAAGGGGACTCCGTCTTCTTTAGTTCATCCCCTTTAGTTCCCCTAAAGGGGATGAACCAACGTCTCTTCTTCTTCCCCTAAAGGGGAAGAAGGGGTTCCCTGCCCCAACAAAACCAACAACGGGTGCTCTGCACCTAGTTTGTAGTTTTTATTGTCAAGATATTGTGCTACAAGTACGGAGTTTTACTAAGATAGCTTGGAAGCGTGTTTCAAAAACTGTGTTTCAAAAACGTAGCAGCTAAACTGTTGAGACCCAAATCCCATGATGCGAGGCAATGATCACAAGTACTCAAGCCGCGAGTACTCATCATCACGCTCTCGAGCCATCCAAGATGGAAGGCAGCTGCAACACACTGGTGGCTTACATTGCATGGGCATGCGTCCACAATGGTAATGACAACGGACTTGTTCTCGTCGTAGCAAGCATTGGAGCGGCTCAGGGATTGTCCGTTACCGTCGGCGAAGTCGGCGTTGCGGCATCGCACCTCAAAGCATTTCCTGCATGGAAGCAATGCAGGAAAAAACATTAATAGAATTATTTGCTTGAAAATTGATTGCGTACGATGTCTTGAGCAAGCTGCGTCAGATCACTGTCTTTTGACGGCACGACAGGACAAGCAGGGCACGACCCATTTTACACCGGCGGCTTGTCGGCGCGCCACGGCGAGCTTCGGGCGCTCCCTCGACGCAGGGTCCCCAAAGGACGCTTATCAAGCGAAGTCGCAATGTTGCTATCATTACGTGAAATAACGCTACGCATAGGCGGATGCTAATCCTTACCCGCAGCTTGAGCCGAAGCCATCCTGCACATCAGGCCACGCGCCAACGTTGCGGCCTGTCGGCGCCCACGAGAAATGGCAGTTCGCTCTGCATCACAGAATATTATTTTTTAATGTCGCATAAAGTCTTAACAAAGATCGCCTTCAACGATCGTGCCCTGCTGCCACCAGAGACGGGCTAAGCAGCGTATCGTAGATGCTTATGTACGTGATGGGAGTAAAGTAAGACGAGAATATTATGTGCCTCAGTTCAACTTACTTGCTCATATCGGGGCCCACATCGAACCATGTAGCGCGGCCGGTAGTCCATCCATTGTTGGCAGAGCACAACCCAAGCCCGACGATGAAAAGGAGGGAAATTGACAGGGAAGAAGTTTCGAGCTTGATCTTGCCCATCATGATGTTCTCCCGGACCACTGATGAGCTGTATGCTGCGACTACTGCAGTCGGCGGCGACCGGCCCTCTTCCGTCACGACTAACGGACGCCCCGTAGAGTCGTTAGCTGATAAGATAAATAACTTGTTAAATATATATAAGATCGCATGAATGAATTAGTAGGATGTGGCAGCTTTTTATACAAAAGCTCGGCGGAAAAAGTTTCATGCCCGTACAAGCAATCTACGACAAGTTTTTGCATGGCGCAAACCGCAATCAGAAGAGGAAATAACCAATCTATGCAGGATTAATATTAGATTTTGGATTTCTGACGTTTCCTTAGTCATTGTGGTTAAAGCAGCGGAGACGCTGGGCCGACCTGGATCACCTTTATCAGGTACAGCGCTATTCAAATTTGCCACCTTGTATGAGCACCACGTTAAACACCGACCCATATCGCACCTTCCTTGAGACTCGCTGCCGTTACAGGTATTGCTGTAATGGAAAACAGTGTCAAACCTTTTCTAACATCGCAAGCTCACCAAGCATGCATTGCCATGCACCGTAGCATGGCAAGGCAGGCTTAAATAATTCGTGATGGCGCCTTATTCAACACCCTAGAATCCAAGGGTCAAGCACGGAACAACACGGTAAAGGGGAAGCACAAGGGCGGAACACCGATAGCACGTACAGCGGGGTTTCTGGTGAGAAGAAGCCCAATATCTCATAATAAAGGCCTTCACTGTTTGCGCTAAGTTTGATGGTCTGATAACATACGACTTCATCTTGACTAACACTCCGACGGCTAAAATGCATTCGGCCAGGCTAAACTCAGAACTCAGTGTACGATGCGGGTTGGTTCCCTGTCCCCCTTGTAATGATTGCATCCTAAACTCAGTTGAGCGAGGGCCACACGCGCTTACAATTCGATCTCTAAAATTCGCTACTTGCCAGTTATATGCTTGTAAACTCTGCTATGTGTAAAGAACCTCATGAGATTGTTTCGTCCTTTCCATTTTACCGCAAGACAGGGTGCTCCACAGCTTTGCTAGGCGCTGCTAGGGGGCTGCTAGGGAGAAACTGCGGGATCACAATTGCGGTCACCGACAGGGGCCTTCAAGGCGTAGTACTCCGCGTAGCCATACCAGAAACATACCGGTCTGAGTGCTACAGGTGTCGTGACAATGATTCGAAGAGGCCTAAAACTCGCTGGCGACTTTTGCAAGCTTGTGCTCTCGCGCATCTTTCCCATTATTTTACTCGACCCCATACTTCACTGTAGTCGGGTTTTCAAAGCGATTGTTGCAGCTCCCGCTTAGATTTATAATGTGTGTGTGGTGGTTACAGTGGGCTAACAGTGGTTAATAGTGTCAATCGTATGATGAATTTTGGGATGCATTCGGCAATAAACGCCATGCAGTCGATATATATTAAACAACAGTGGTATGGCTCCAACAAAAGGAACGTCAAGCATTGCTTGGGTTGCCCGCATGCCTCGATGCAGGAAAGTCTAACGACGCTTAGGGTGTGTTCACATGTAGTCCAATTGAGAGTCTGATTGGGAGTCCGATTCGGGGCGGCTTTCTGAATTGTGTTCACATACGATTCGCTGCACGGCGCGAGGTGCCACCGCGCCCAGCTGAAGCTCCGCGGCTACGCCCCATCACCCAAGGCAAGCCAGCATTATCTAGGAACAGAACAGTATAAGTATCGTTTCTATGGCGAAAATTATCACCAGGCTTGTACATACATAGCTGCAGGAGTTCGTGAAAAATGCTCGGTGCGCTTTGCGTGAATTAACAATTGGAAAATGTTCCTATAGTATTGTAATGGTAATTATGAGAAACGGTTTGTTAAACAACTTTGTTTTGAGAAAGAAAACTGTGAATCACGTCGAATCATACCCGAAGAGGCCCCCGGACCCCAATTCCGATTCGGGTCCAGTCAGGTCCAATTCAGAGTCCAATTCGCATGAATCAACCCTGATTCGCCCACATGTGAACACGTCCTTACAACGGATAACCACAGCAAACAGTCATGCAGTCATAATCTTCTTCGATTGCCGAGACACAAACCCTATGGAATGCTTAGCGTGCAATTGGGCAACAATTTAATGAAGTATCTCTTATTGCGAGCTGTTTGTAGCTGCGCTTGCGTCGAGCGTTCTGCCTTGAGGACCTGTCATTCAGCTGCAGTCCTCAGTGAACGCTCACGAAATGAAAGAGATTTGGTGCATCAGTATTTATAAACTACTACTTCAAATGGTAATCCTATGTCGACACCAGCAACGCAGCGCAGGAACGAGGCAACGGATGTCCACCAGGCAACGGATGTCCACCAGTCCAGTTTTGCTTGACCATAACGTAACCGATTTGCATTAGAGAAAAGATTGGACAGTGTCGCCTAGCGCGCCTTGCGTGCAAGCCATGGACCAGGAGGCCCAGGATGCCAAGCTGATTGTACATCTTTCAGAAGCATTCAATAAGGACGAGGTGTGGCAGCTGGCCGCCGCAGAAGCATGGAGCAAGGCCACGAATCTGGAACGTGTGCTAATTCGCGGTAGCACAGAGGCCAAACAGCTGAAGTTTGTGGATGTGCTTATCCGTAAGAGTAGGTCATGCACTGGGAGCTGAGAAGGCTTGAAGTGTCGGGAGGCTCTGTGTTGCTGGGTGAGTGGGAGGGTTCTCCTGCCTGAAACTTGAAACAACTCGTCACACGGGTCCCCGACCGCTCCCATGTCCTGCAGCCTCGGCGGCTGGCCTCGGTGCAGGGAGCGCGGCTGGAGCCGGTGAGTTGGTTGTGCTAGCCCAGGCTTGACCTGACCTAAGACAGTGCTGCTGCTGGTGATCATTTCAAGAGGCTGTAGGGTGAGCAACGACACATTTGTAGTTCTGAGTTTGGAGCATGCCAGCCCCATGTGAAGCATTCGGCATGTTATGATTGAATCCCCGATTGCACAACCAGCACCAGCAGGTGGTGGGTGGGGTGCTGGGACATGGTATGCACCAAGGATATGCACACGAAGTGAGTGTGGCAAGGGGCTGCAGCGCAGGACGGGGCCCCTTGCAGGACCATACACTGCGTGCATTATACCACATCATATCCTCCTACAGCAGGCAATGCCATTCCGTGCTCACATGCAGAAGGAGGCGCCCGGGGTGGCTGCAACATCAAACAAGGTCTAACATATATAAACAGCGGGGCGCTGCGTGTTGTGCTGCTCAGTTTTGATGGCTATCTACATCCTTGCACGCCGCTGTGCAGGAGGTGCATGGATGCAGCTGGAATTCGAGAAGCTTGCAATGTTTCTTAACGAGATTCAAGCAACTCTGACGGTGAGGGTTGGCCCTTGTTGTGCAGGGTCACAATTGAAGGGGTATGCTATCACCTTTGGTGTGCTCATTTGCCTGCAAGCACTGCTCCTTTCTGTACAATACACCCTAACCACCCTGTCTGAGCACACCCTGCGCAGAACCTCCAGCTATTTGCCCCCAAGGTCACGATCACTCTGTCATCCTGCTCATCGGCGCAACACAAGCAGATAGAGGAGGCGGTGGGTGTGCGGTTCAACTACATCACAGCCGTTCATGCACCGTGCTGCTGTCCATTTGTGAAGCCCTGGCCTCTGCAGTCCAGGTTCAGCTGGGGAAGTGCCAGTGAGGATGAGCCTAAAACCATCACGAGCACGGTGCAACATCTACAGCAGATCACCCCAGCAGGTATGAGTACGCATATGCAGGACGCTCAGGCGCATGCCGGAGGAGTGGTAGTGGGACGTCTCGTTCGCATATATGGGTTTGCATGGGACTCGTCATTGTGTCAACCTCTGCCCATCAGTTTGCAGCCTTCGGGATCTGTGCCCGTCACTTTATGACCTTCCTAAAGCTGTGCCCAATCCCATGTCATTGTTGCCCTGCAGGCGT